AGGAGTAATTCAAAACCCCTCTTTTGACGATGTTCTTTAATTATAAATATTTATTGTTTATCGCAATCCGTCCGGTCAACAAGAACGAAAAAAATTCCATCATTCAAAATCAGATATTTCCCCTACTAATGATGAACTTTTTTTTTATATGAATTTAAATTATACATACCGAAATTAAGTGTAACGAACTTTTATGTTATTAGTGTGATTTAACTTATTACAACATGTTACTTTATAATTTATTATAAGTTTACTAATGCTGATTAAACATAGTTACATGCAATTGTCTTTTAACTTAAATAATAAAATTCTAAACTTGCTAAAACTTCAAAGTCAAAAGAAGAAATCTAACAAATAAATTGCTTGCCTTACTAGAAAAACGCCGGAGAAGAGAAAGTAATCGCGCTGGGGAAGGTGGAATCGCGATTGATTCACTGAAAAATTAAAAGAAAAAAATCACTAAGTAAAAATAAATAATGGACGGAGGGAGGAGAGAAAGAGAGAGAGGGGTACCGTATGGACAGGCGGAGGGACGGAGGGACGGAGGGATGGGGGTTGGCTCGGGTGGCTGAAGAAGAAAGAAAAGAGAAAGAGAAAAGAAGAGAAAGAAAGAAAGGGGTCGGGCATAGGGTTTTTTAAATGGATTTCCGACCGTTATGGTCGAAACTTTAATATTTATTTTTTAATACTTTAAAGTTTCCGACCGAATCGGTCGCAAATAAAAAAATTATTTTTTTAAAAAATTTTGACTTTTAAATAGAGGCGGATTCAGTCGAAAATTTGGTTCGCGGATTTTAGCGCCAAGCTGTGTGACCACCATTGTCGGAAACATGGTCGAAGTTATATAATAAAAATGTAACTATTTTTTAAAAAATTTTTGACTCTTTCGGTCGAGAATTTCCTGACAATTTTTTTCTGTCAGAAGATTTCAGTCAGAATTTAGTGTTTTTCTAGTAGTGTTATTTAATTATGTAATATAGATCTTTTATGACGTGCATAGAACTTAAACTCTTTTTCCGTTAAAGTGAATTAGGGTCATTAATACTGAATTTATTAGTCCTTTAAACCTTAATTATTCCATAAATGACCAGTTACATTTTTTTTTTAAAAAAGAAAATGATCCAACAAAAATTTTCTATGTGAAAAGTTCCATAAAACATTTTTTTTTTTTTGTAATGGACCATATATAAGACTGATTTCGAACATATATACAATCATGTAATAATTATAAGTACATTTTTGTGATAAGCATTTAATTGATAACTTGATAAAAATATTTACTAACATGTTAGCACATGTTAAACTACACTACAATGTACAAGTCCAATTTTAAAAAAAGCAAATAGCAAATTATTTGTAAACATTTGAAATATATTTGTATTATATATTGCTTTGAATATGTAAAATGACATAAGTGTACAAGGATGATGAAAGTCTAGTTATCCAAACCAGAACCAACAAACAAATTTGTACCATGTTGCACTTTCCTAGATTAACCAAAAACTACTAACTAAATTACCCCATTCTTACATACTAATAGAAGCCTCCTATCTCCATATTTTGGAGGTCCAAAATCATGGCTGAGATTACATATATTATATATAACAAAACAAACAAATCCAACCAAACCTAACTTTAAGAATTAACCCTAGGAATAGCTTTGCAAACTAAAGAGTGCTTCATTTCCAGAGACAACTTCAAACACTCAGATAAATCCACACCATTATCTGAAGCAATCCAATTGAAACTTTGAAGTAACTGAGCTAACCAAAGTTGAACAGTAGCAAGTCCCATTATTTTGCCAGGACACACTCTTCTCCCAGAGCCAAATGGTGCCAACCTTAGATCAGAACCCATGATCGCGACATCTTCTTCCAAAAATCTTTCTGGCATGAACTTTTCAGGCTGTGGCCAAATGTTTTCGTCGCGAGTAATTGCCCACATGTTAACCATTGCTGTTGTTCCTGCTGGGATGAAGTGATGACCAATAAATGTGTCATTCATTGCAAGTCTAGCCCAAGAAAGAAGAGGACCTGGTGGATGGATTCTAAGTGTCTCTTTTACTATAGCTTGAAGATAGGTTAATTTAGGCAAGTCAAAATCAGATACACCTTTATTTGTTCCTACAATATTGTCTATTTCTTGTTGAGCTTTGGCTTGTATTTCTGGATGTAGCACCATTCTTGCAAGAATCCACTCTAGTAGGATTGCAACAGTATCAGTTCCCCTGAAGATCATTTCCTGAAAAGAAAAGAAAATAAATGTGTTAGGGTCGATCTTCCGAAAACAGTCTCTCTGCCTTCACAAGGCAGGGGTAAGGATTACGTACACACTATCCTACTCAGACCCCACTTGTGAGAATGCACTGAGTATGCTGTTGTTGTATAAGAAATTAAATGTGTTATCTCTACTATCAGGTGTCGTTTGTTTACTGGAAATAAGGATTATAATTTCTGATAGAATTTGAGATTATATTTATCGTAGTATGTTTCTTTATGGGTATTAATTATATTGATACAAATTTTATACCAAAATGATTGTATTAACTAACATATATTGAATATAGGATAACAATCCCAGAATTATAATCGTGAAATTATTAATCCTTGTATAACTGTCTTTGATGAAACTAAGCAACCCCTTAAAGTTATGATAGTAACAGAATTCAAGTAATAGAGACAGAACAAGATTATGATAAGGGACATATCAGCAAAAGAGATACTATGATATATATCAGCACTACTACTCCCATCATGTAAAGTTAAAGATAAAAATTATTCAGATTCTTCATATCTTAGGTACTAAAAAAGGAGAAATGTAACAGATATGTTCCAGCATTTATTTAAAAGAATCAGGTGTTAAACAACAGGAAAAAGGGAAATTGCAGCTATATGGATAAAAGACAAGAAATGACATCACCAGAAAGTGGAGTATACAAAAAAGACAACAAAAAAGGAGTCAAAGTTTAATTTAGTACTCCTGTGAAGTTCCTCCACAAGCTTAACAACGTACGAGCTGAGCCTAGAGAATGAACTAAAGAATAAAGCATGTACAACAATACATATCACGTAGAATATCATAAATTGCATGCCACAAACCAAAAATATCAATATTCAAGCATTATACCAAATACTAGAATTTGACTTAATTATATATACTAATAATATAAAGAATGTTATATTTTAATTTGTTATAACAGGTAATATGTATTATCTTTCCGTATGTATTGAAAATATTATCAAACGTAATAAAGTGGTGAATAGAAAATACCCAAAGAACTGCGATCATGTCCGTGTTACTGAGTTTATTATCCTTCTCCAAATCGAGCAAGACATCAACAAAGTCCGATAAACCTTCATCAGCAACTACACCACCATTTTCAGCTCTTTTAACCCTGTGTTCTTCTATAATTTTCCCAACAAAAATATTAACTTTAGTAGCCAAATCTCTACATCTTCTTCTAACCCCTTGCAAATCTAACCACCCCAAAAAAGGAAAATGGTCACTCCAATTAAATATACCCAACAACTCATAACCTTCACACACTAAAAACTCCAGTTTTTGTCCATCATTGTCCGTTATAAAATCATAACATTTCCCAAAAACACTACTCATCACATTATTCAAAGATCCAAAATGCAAAATCCTCTTTACTTTAATTTTCCCTTCTGTCTCGGCCATTAAACTCATGATTTCACTCACCATTTTATTGCCTATTTCTCTTCTACACTCCCCTAAACTTGATATTCTCTTATGACTAAATAAATGTGTTGCTGACATTTTTCTCAAACTTCTCCAGTACTCGCCGTAAGGTGCAAAACCCATTGCTCTATGAAACAAAAGTTCGTAAGCAGATTCCTTAACAGGTCTATCTGCAAAAGCAGAACTGTTTAAAATTTCTTTCGCGGACTCTGGTTGGCTTGAAATTATAAAACGCGTAAACCCAACAGAAAAAGCCATTAAAGAAGTAGCGCTGAGGCTTTTTGACAACTTTGAAAGAAGTCTATGAGTGAGGGAACTAGTGAAGGTGAAGACCAAGCCAAGAACGGGTAGACCTGATGGCCCGGGAATGGTGGGTCGGAACCCGACCCGGGACTTGGATAAAGCCCATGCAAGTCCACCCGGGGTGAGCCAGAAGGTGAATGAAAGGAAGAGAAGAAAGAAGATGAGAAACTCATAGGAAAAGAATACATTTGAGGAATGGCCATAAGTTGAAGTAATGAAAAGTATTGAGTATTCAGATGACATTTTTCTGAACTTTGAAAAGTTAAAGAGAAAGAGAGTGTGTGTGTGTGTGTGTGTTTCAGGTGGCGAGCAGTTTTGATGTGTTATTTGTGTGAGAGAGAGAAGGTAAACGACAGCAGTTGTGTGTGAGGAAGACGAAGAGTAGTGTAGGAACGTTTAAATAGAGAATTATTATGAGAAAATATACTCACTTGGAACTTGAAGATTTTGAAAGAAAAAAGGGAAATAATAATTCAGAAAAAATAACAGAATGCTGAAATAACAAAAATACTTTAAAACTAGTAACTTATTATACTGCATAATAAAGGATGAGTTCTATAGTAACTTGGTGTCAATGTAAAAAAAAGGTCTAAGATGAATCCACTAAATAAATACTCCTATAAATTATTTATATGAATTGATTTATTTAATCTAAAGTAATTTGGTGTCGATGTAAAAAAAAGGTCTAATTAAGATGAATTCACTTAATAAATATAAATGATTTGTATGAATTGATTTATCTTATCAAAGAATGTGAGCCTTGCGTAATTGGTAAAATTGTTGTCATGTAACTAGGAGGTCACGGGTTCGAGCCGTAAAAATAACCTCTTGCAGAAATGCATGGTACGACTGTCTATAATAGACCCCTGTTGTCCCGCTTTTCCCGGATCTCGCGCATAACGGAAGTCGGAAGATTAGGGCATTTTAACTATTTTGAAATTGGGATGTAATTGGTTGGGTGCTTGGTTTAATACATATGTTTATTTTGACGTGCTTTCATCAAAGTTTTGTGAAAATATAATAAATACGTACATTTTAACAATACAAAACTTTTAATAATAGCAAGTACGTATATATTTCCTATTTTTCTGCAAAAGTGTATAAAATTTTCAGGACAGAAACTCATTCCATGTTTAGGACCTGAAATTTAAAATATTCCCCCTTCTGGAAATTCTTAAACTGATAAATCTCAAATGTTATTTTCTGATATATTTGTTCCTCATTCAAGAATTATCCAAAGTGTAATATTGACATTGACTGCAGCCGTTCAGCTTCCTCTTTTTGAAACTGTCGTCTTAATCGGGTGCATCAAATTAGATTATGAAATGAAGCCGAATTAATCATTGTATTTTTGATCTTCTGGTGGGATAAAACAGTAATTTGGGAGTGTAACTCTATGTATTAATGGAGTAAAAAAATATTTACTCAACCACGTCATATTTAGATTTTGTGATATACGTTATTTAACGTACATTGATAGTGATTAAAAAAATTACATTATTAATAAATATAACTTACACTTATTTGAAAATATCATTGATCAACTAACAATGATCTACCGTGATAATGTTTGTGAACCGTCGTTTCTAACAATACATATTTCTCAATTTATTATTGACCAATATATATTGGTTAAATGATAGTGAAAGCACACTTCAATGCAATATAAATTTGTAGTTATTTTTTAATCCATTCAGTGGCAGGATTTTCATCATAGGAGTCCAACATCTACTGTGATATATATATATAGAGATAGTAGATATTATCTTATATATTCCGACAAAGAAGTTCAAACGAATCTCCTTCCGCCCCTCAAGCACCACCCCTCCATTCATCACGTTAATTTATCATATTTAAACTAAAATTCCACTCACAAACAAAGCCAACTGGTTTATTTTCTGAAATGGGAGTAATATTTTGCAACTAGCTAGGCAAATCGTTTAGTCCGGAGATTTATGTAGTATCGCAGTGTTTATCTAGGCTGTTCAACTTTCAGGCTTATTTATTCAGGAATTGTTATTATGTTTTGTTATTGCTTTTATGTTTGGCTTATCTGCATATGGTGTTTTTTTATCTTTTTCTTTTTTGAGGTTCCAGCAACATTTCCAATCCCTTTCCTACAATATGCATGCCTCGCACATAACACTAAAATTTTCTTTTTCGAATAAATAAAAAGATGTTATGGTATAGTCAACAATCTAATAATTAAGTATGAAAAAGAAAAAAAAATATCTAGTAAGTCAGAAGTTGCAAATATTCTTAGTTAGGACACATTTTTGTGACAGTTACACCCCTGACCCTCCTCCTTTTACGGGAATAATGTGCTCCTCCTCTTATTGTCCTTAGGAACCAAATATTTAGGTCACACCAATAAGCAATAATGCCCAAACAAATATTTTTACGCAAGGATTTTATATACAAGCATTTACTTTTTCAGAAATATGGCTTTCCATTTTTTCTAATACTTTTATTGCTCGCTTGTTTTCTTAATATCTTGTTGTTGTTACTGTTTGTTGCTATTATATTGCTTTCTTTTCATCTTTTCTTGAGCCGAAAGTCTATTGAAAACAACCTCTCTACCCTCAAGGTAGGGGCAATGATAGTCCACCAAACTATATAGAGAACCAAGCTCTCTATCAGTTCTCACAGTAAGCAACAGACTGTAAAACCAAACAGTATAGGGATTCGGGTTCTCTATTTGTTCCCACAGTAAATTGGCAGTAAATAAAGAACACATGATATTTACGTGAAAAACTCCTTGCTCAAGGTATTAAAAATCACGACCTACCCTAGTAGGATTTCAACTCCACTAAACCGAGCAAAATTCAGATTACAACCTATTGCAATCTAGGAATTAAACTCTTAATCCATCACCCCTTACAATAACTCTATTGTAAGGCCTTTGTAACTCTATTACAAAGCAACAAACCTTGACTAACTCTAGTCAAGAAACTAAACCAAACAGTGGTTTAAATATGTCCTACAAAGACACTTCTTGAAAGTAGTGTAGGATTACAAATAAAGAACAAAATAACAAAGACTCAAAAAATCTAAGGACTTAAGATATCTTCAATCTTTGGATCTGGTCCTTGAGGTTGCATCAGCTTTGTTCTTGAGAGAGGTTGTGGCTAGCACTTGAGAGAATATTGTCTTTTGATTTGCAAGTGTTTTGGCAATAAAATCCCTTGCCTTATATTGATAATATATGTGTGTGAGGTCATTGGGATGATGTAAGCAAATATCTGGTACCTCACATACTCCATAAAGTGACTGTTGCACTGTTGCGTGTGCAGTGTAACAGTGCATCGACTTTAACAGCTGTAGGGAGTTGACCTGTATTGTGACTGGAGGAACTAATCTCTATATGTTCCCACTACAGTTCCCTCTACTGTACTTCCCTTAACTGATTTCATTGAGAGTTAAACCAGACATCTGACTAGTTACTCTGAACACAAAAGAACTAATTATTTCAGGTTTCATGTCTGATTCTCTCATGAAATTTGTCAAATCATCAAAACAAAAGACACATAACTTATCAATATCTTCCTTTTTGATGATGACAAACTTAGAGTTGATATTCCTACTGAGAACAAGATCCACATATTATTCCCCCTACAAATCAGCCATATTCCTCTTGAGAACCAGAATAAAGGAACTGATCACAACTGGTTCCTCGAGACTGTTTGGCAAATCATCAAAACACAAAATAGTATAACTTATCAATTTTTTCCTTTTTGATGATGACAAACCCAGAATTGATATTCCCCCTGAGAATCGAATTGCTTACATGTACTGATCATATCTGGTCCGTACCTGGTTCCTTGAGAACGTTTGGCAAATCATCAAAACATGAAACATCATAACTTAGAGCAATTTCTCCCTTTTTGATGGTAACAAACCCAAAATTGATGTTCCCCTTGAGAACCGGATTCCTCACATGTTCCCCTACGAATCAGACCTATAATCAACATGTTATCAGCAACGCTCCCCCTGCGAAGCAGAGCTATCTTTCATGTACAACACCTATCTTTCATGCACAACACAACATATCAATTCGATTATGTTCTTTCCCCCTGTTGACACCTATGTAACTCCCCTCTTTTGGCATCATTGAAAACAATAACAGAAGAAGCACAACCAAAAAGAAGTTCAGCAACATTAACTCATGCCACTTGGGCAACACAACATAAATAATAACAAGAACAACAAGTGAATGTCATTGCACAAAATAGTGTGATTTCACATAGTAGAGTAATTATAATAAAACCACAGTAGTTTCAACAATACAGAATATGACAATTTAAACAACTGAAGTACCAATGTCATTAAACATAGGGATCAAAAGAAGATAGGAATTTGAGGGAATTTAGAAGGAGTGAAAGACATGGATTACTGGACAGGAAGAAAAATAAAGGGTTAAGGCCTTGATAAGCCTGTCCATTCGTTCATTCACAATCCTTTGATCAATGATCACTTGTTCTCTCAGGTCCTCCACATGTTTACTCAATCTTTCATTTTCACCCTTCAATTTAGTATTCTATCACCAAGAATCTCCCCAACCTTCTCCTTATCAAGAACAAACTCAGTCCCAGTTTTTACTTCCTCTTCATAAACATTAGGACTTGGAGGAACAAAGAGGTGATTCTATTTTTGGAACTCAACAATGTCAAGAAGTTCCTCCATTTTTTCAGCAATATCAGAGTCAACACTCTGCCTAACAACACTTTTTGAGACTTTAGAGTCTTCTACCTCTCCAAACCCGATAACTCAACCTTTTGCTTCTGTAAGAAACCAGGTTCCTCACTCACACAACCCTTTATTTTTCCTGAGTAGACATGTCTCCCTCTTCTTCTTCTTCTCAATCTGTTCACCCTTATCATATGCTGCATCTTTCTCAACCGACTTTCTTTTCTCCACTTTAATCCTTTTTGAACTCTTTCTCATACATGAAGATTTTTCGGCTTCATTCTCTCTTCTAAATTCACCACATCAGCATGTCACGCCACTTTATCATCAATCAACCTACTTTTCATCAATCTTTTTTACTGGATCAGAAGTTCGTTTAAACACAAAACTCAAAAAGAAAAATATAATTAGAATTAACATCCTGAGAAGGACTTGAGGGATCAGGACCCTCCTTCAATTCCCCCTTTTTTCAGCACATTCACCAATTCCTCCATCCTTCAATACTTCTACAAACCCAGCAACAATTTCAACCTCACACTTTAGAATATTATATCTACCCCATTCCCTTTCAGTTAAACTCCCACCAAAATTTACCAAAGACTACTTGGGGTTTTGATTCAGATGGAGTTAGAATTTTGGAAGTTGACAAAGTTGGTTTCACTCT